CACATTTCTCCTCATAGAGCCCAGCCTCCTAGATAATCTGTTCTGCATATAGATTGGAAAAAGTATGGAGATAAGACATATCCCTAGTGTATAACCTTCATGCAGTGTTTCCTTGCTCTGTTCTAACGACTGCCTCCTGGTTCAAGTATAGGTTTCGCAAAGGCATAATCAAATGCTCTAGGATTACCATTCTTCTCAGAGTCAGCCACAGTTTTTTGTGCTCTATATGGTCAAATGCCTTTGCATAGTCAATTTAGCACAGATAGACGTTCCTTTGGTACTTCTTGCTTTCAGTCAAGATCCATCTAATATTAGCTATAATATCCGTAGTCCTATAGCCTCTTCTAAATCCAGCTTGCACTTCAGGAAGTTCTCTGTTGATGTGTTGTTCCAGTCATTTTTGGCCAATCTTCATCAGAATCTTGCTTGTATGTGATATCAGTGGTATTGTTTGATAATTTCTGCACCCTATTGGATCACCTTTCTTTGGAATAGGATCAGATATAGATCTCTTCCTGTCAGTTGGCCAGGTGGTTGTCTCCAGACTTCTTCGCACAACATGGTGAGCGCATCCAGGGCAGGGTCTGTTTGTTGAAATATGTCAATTGGTGTGCCATCCATTCCTGAGGCCTTCTTTTCTGCCAATTCTTTCAGAGCAACTTGAACTTTTTCCTTTATCACCACAAGCTCTTGCTTATATGTATAATAGTAAACATATTCATATGTAAAATCCATTAAGTTTTAAAGACGATACAGCTTGCTTAGACTTCATCCTCTTAGACAAGTTAGAAAAAAAAAATGTTACAACTAACCTATTAGAAAATAGAAGGAATTATTTTTAAATAGCATTGGAAACATCTAAGTAGGTGTGAGTGTTAGCAGTTAATATGTGTGTAGGAGAACATTGCTGTGAGCTACATCATTATAGATTCTTGTTCTGACCTGGACTGAAAGCAGAGACACATTTTAAAACCTCTCTTTGCCTATACTCTACATATCTGTATAGGAGTGTATTCTTGGAAGGTTAAGCATTTGCATATGATATTTTACTTTTAAGACTGATTGTCAATGTTGTTTTAAAATTTATATATGCTGTAAAGGTGTATGTTCTAGTGATCTAGTGGAAAAAGAGTTGCACTGACAACACAAAGCAAGCTGTTTAAATCCACCAGCTGCTCTGTGGGAGAAAAATGCCCTGGATTACTTTTCTTTGTGCCAGTTCGGTATAATGAACATAATCTCATCACCTCTGATGGTAAATTTTGGTTTATGACTTTTATTTGTTTTCATACTCATAATGATTTTGATATACTAGAAAATCATATGGATCTTTCAGATCTAATATGTTAAAATGGAATAATCTTAAACTCAATAATCCTGCTTCTTTTTTTTTTCTTTTAATATCAACTATTTTGGCCCCTGGGCCATTGATTTTTGAGTTAAAACCTAGACATTTTCTCTTCTTGATTTCACAACACAGCTTCATGGTAGGAAGCAGGGCAATCTATGCCCTCCACTCTTTCTTACATTTGTCCCCTCATCACACCTGCCAATTCTGAAATGAGTAAAGTAACCCTGGAATACTGAGTGGCTACCACATGCACATTTACCCTAGAGAATGAAAATTCTCCCCTTTGTGTTTCTTTAAAAAAGAAACAGACAATAACTTTGAAATAGGATGTAATGTTTCCATGCTATTGTTGTTGCTAGGTGCCATCACGTTGACTGTGACTTGTGACTCTTTGAATAACATATCTGACCCTTGTCTTATCCTGCCCCATCTTTGCCCTCTGTGATATGCTGGAGCCGGTTGCCACAGCCATTCAACCCTTTTGAGAGTCTTCCCCTCCTTCTCTGCCCTTCCACCTTCCCTAGTGTGATGTCTCTTTTCCAAAGACTTGCACTTTCTGACAACATGTCCCTGCTATGTGCTGTTATTGTTGGTCCTGGCTACTTTTGATTCCAACCAGTTTGTTAAAGAATAGAATGAATTCATAGGGTTTTCTTGAATATAATATTTTTGAAATAAGATCTTCAAGTATTCTGAGCTACTACTAAATGGGTCCAAACAACCAAAGTTTAGTATTGGCGCACAAATCATCTGTGGCATCCATGGATTGCTATGTCCCTTCAGTCATCATCCCTTATAGATATTAGAGATTGTCTAATGAGTTTTTCATGAGGGAAACAAATGAAGTAATCCCTTTACTGTATTTATGGTAAGTATACAAATAAAATTCTTCAGACTCACATTAGTCTACTTTTCTTCAGTATTTCTCTTTATGTGGAACTTTCCTTTTCTTTTATCATCCCATCTTGTTTTACAAGTTTCTATTGTTATTCTTTTTCTGTCTGATGCTTTTCATTATTTTTATAATGTGTTTAAATGGAGATTTTTTTGTTATGTGCCACTGAGTCTAGTTGCCTGCGACTCATAGTGACACTATGTACAACAGCCCTAAACCCTGCTCTATCTTGTGCCAATCTTATTGTTTTTGACACACCTACCCCATTAGCCTAATCACTGAATCAGTCCATCTCATGGAGGTCCTTCCTCTCTTGCGCTGTCCCTCCACCCTCCCTAGTATGATGTCCCTCTTCAAGAACTGGTCCCTCCTTGCAACATGGCCAGAGTATGTTAGACAAAGCATCAGAATCCTTGCCTCCAAGGAGCAGCCTAATCTCACCGCCTCTCAAATTAATCTGTTTGTTCTCCTAGCAGTTCATGGTATATTCAATACTCTTCTCCAGCACCACAGTTCAAAGGCATCAATTCTCCTTATATCTTCCCTCGCCATTGTCCAGCTTTCTGATGCATAGCAAGTAATTACAAAGACTATGGCCTGGATCAGGCACATCTTAGTCTCTAGACTGACATTGTCACTCTTCAGTACTTTTGGAGAGGTCTCTGATAGCAGAATTTCTCAATACAATTCTACTTTTAATTTTCTGGCTGTCTAGGTAGTATATTTATCCTATTTGTTTTTCTATCTTTTTCTTTCTTCTCTCCTTTGAAGGATCCTTGTTTTTCATATCTCATAATGTTGTAACTTGAATTGGTTAGCACTTACGTGAAATTGACCAATAAATTACTTGTTCAAAAGCGCTAATGCCAGAGAAAATTTTTGGAGAATTATCTCATTGTCTCTCAGATCTAAAATTAAAGTTTTTAGATATTGAGTGGGGGAGAGTTAAAGCCAGCAAAGCCACATATTCTTGATTTTCTTATAAAATCATGAATTCGAACAAAATTAATGGTTTACAGATTTGGCTTGTGTACATAGTCTTCTCTCTCCTCCTACACAGGGCTATTATTTTTTATTAATTTGCATAATCCGTTCCGTTCTATCATTCCTACAACTTGTTCCTCATTTAGTTCCTCTGAAATCGTGCACAACTTGAAAATTCTGAATGTTGTTGTTGTTGTTGTTATGTGCCGTCAAGTCATTTTCAACTCATAGCGACCCTATGCACAACAGCCCTAAACCCTGCTCTATCCTGCGCCAACCGCACTGCCTCTGACACACCCATCCCGATCACCCCAGTCACCGAATCAATCCATCTCATGGAGGTTCTTCCCCTCCCGCGCCATCCCTCCACGCTCCCAAGGACCCGTCCCTCCTGGCAACATGTCCAAAGTATGTCAGACGAAGCCCCAGAATCCTTGCCTCCAAGGAGCAGCCTGGTTTAATCCTCTCCAAGATGAATCTGTTTGTTTTCCTGGCAGTCCATGGTACATTCAGTACTCTTCTCCAGCACCACAGCTCAGAAGCATCCACTCTCCTTCTGTCCTCCCTAGTCATTGTCCAACTCTCTGAGGCATAACAAGCGATTGCAAATACCATGGCCTGTATCAGGCGCACCTTAGTCTCCAGAGAGACACCGTTGTTCCTGAGTACTTTAGAGAGGTCCCTAACAGCAGACTTTCCCATCGCGATACCCTTCTTGATTTCCTGACTGCTGGTGCCAAGAGTGTTGACTGTGGAGCCGAGCAAACTAGAAAGGCCTTAAATGCATTTTTGTCTGCATTAGCGTAGCTACATTAATTTCAAAGGAGTTCAGTCTAAGTAGAAACAATAGTTTAATCTAGATAGAATCAGAAGAGAGTGCTTTTAGAAAGAAAAATTCCAAAAATATAGCTAAATTTTAAAGATCTCATGAAGAAAATATCCATTAGAAATGAGATTATGTAGCAAAATGTTTTCTTTAAAAAATGAGTTAAGGTTTAATATTATTTGTATTATAAACTCTCCCTTGTTATTCTTTAAAATAAATGTGGGTTTGCATATTATTTTTCTGTAGAAGATATTCCTAACCACTAAATGTATCATGTTGCTAAATTTAGCTCTGCATTCGAAATATAATTTTTTTCTTCTTACCTTCTTTACATTTGTGGAATAAGAACTCAGAAAAACCATATATGTATGATACTTTGAAAATTAAAAAGCTAGTGTAATATGTAATAACTGTCATTTCAAGAATAAAAGATGGAGAAAAAGAATTTTTTTTCCAAAATTCACATCTCACAATATTTAGCCTCTCAAGAGTTGCTGCATGAATTATAAGCAACCCAATATATAGCATTAGTTTATAATGTGTCTACTTGTAATTCCCTTTCTTTAGTTATATCACTACATTTCTTATGCATCTGATAAAATGACTTTTATAAAAGCACTTACATAGACAGCATATTTTAAAGGTGATGATACCTTTATTTTTTCATATGGTGTGTAATGAATCACGCATTAGAGTGGCATGTTTTCACAAAAAAGAAAAAACCTAATGTGTAAACAATTTAAAAGAATTTTGCTTGTTGCAGCTTTTCTCTAGCATGTAGTTGATAGTAAGCTTTTTTTTTGTGAAAACAGTGTGTATATTTTATGTTTTATTGTTCACCTAATTTCATTTAGCACTATTGAGCTTTCATAAGTAAAAGATATTTAAAGAAAAATCTTTGAAATTATGTTTAACATTTCTCTCTTTTCCTTTTGCCCATACAGAAATTTATGATGAAGGTAAGACATTAGACCGTTCTTGGAGCTTTTTCTTTCATTTTTTTAGTTTGGTGATGATTGCTTGGTGTATTTTCTGAGATCATTTTGTTCGTATTTTCAAGTTAAAAATGAAATCAAACTTTGTAAAGCATATATTAAGATTTAAATATTTAACAGACATTTGAAGCAGGAGTGGCATCCACTTCCTAAACAACATGCCTCTGGAAACTATGAACTTTGAGAAATGACGATAGTTAAAGAAAAGCTTCAGGCCTTTTGTTCGTAGGGTCTCTATGTGTTGTGTTCGACTCAATGGCAATTAACAACAACAACAACAGTTTTAACAAATAAATTTTATTTAGCCAGCACTAGAAATGTCTCCCATAGCAATATAATTTTTATAGATCTGCATTCATGATTTCTACTCTTTAGAATTATGTTGACTGCTTTGTCACTCTGAGTTCTGCCTTTTTTTAAAAAATTTTTTATTTTTTAATTTTTTTTTTTAACAGAGGTTTTGGATTTCCATTCATTCATTGCCGCAATTTTCTCCCTTCCCACCCCTCCCCACCAGCTCGCTTCCCCCTCAGAAGAGAGAAAAAAAGAAAAAAAATTCCTTCATTAGTATACAATTCCTACGTCCCTTCCCCCCACCCCCCACCCTGAGTACACTTCTCTATGCAACCTTAATTCTGGATTCCTGTGCTAACCATAATACTCAATCATATATCA